GCTTTGCTCCCGGTGCCTCTGGTCTGCTGGGGACCATCTCCAGCAGACCAGGGACACCGGGAGCAAAGGAGGCGGAGGGGCGCTGGGGTATAAGATGAAACCCTATCTTTTAATTAAAAAGATAGGGGGTCGTCTTATACACCCAGTCGCCCTATACGCCGGAAAATACGGTAAGAAAAAACAGGAATATGAAAATCTCCTATGCAGAGATAAACATCTAATTTCAAGGTTAAACTCCCCCTCAGACCAAGCAAAATCACTTTACAGTAACAGAATTGTGATTTTCAAAACCTCTAAACTATGCAAGATTGTAAAGAGTGTTTCATAATGTAGAATCACTAATCACAGAAGCTACTCCTGTCATGCAGATGAAAACTTGGATGTGACCGAAAATTTGGCGAAGGCCCATGGTCCCACAATGATTTAAATCATTTTTTCCAGGTATATGTAGCTTCTTTCGTTGTCTCTGTTATAACTGAAAGATGTGTAATAAATGGAAATGACTTGGTAGACAAATGTCAAAATTTGAGCCCCTTTTTCTCCTGAGGCCTGGACCAAATGACTCTCTTGGTCCCACCCTTTCATAGGGCCTGCTCATAAATGGAATTATTACCTAGGAAATTAGATTTACTTGACTTTATGATGTGAAATTATGGGGCTACAAGTGGTCATAGAATTATCCAGACCTATTTATTTTTATTATTTAGCATTTATATTATAAAATCAGAGAGGTAGGGCTATAAGGGACTTCGAGAAGTCTTCATGTCCAGTTGTCCTGCGCTGAGGCAGAACTAATATCTCTAGACCATATTATGGGAGCACCCAAGGACTCTAACTAAGGGACACCATTGTGTTGTAGTAGCAGCACCTAGATGCCCCAACCAAGATTGGACCTCTGTCGTGTGAAGCCCTATAGTATACAAAGGTGTCCACATTCCTTGCCTGAAGGAGTTTTTAAATTCAGTTGTGCTGTTTGGCTCTCTGGTCTCTTGTGTCAATGACCTTCACATACTATACCATAATCTGCACAAGGCAAGGGTTTTGTTATATCTTCTAGAAACATTAACTTTTGCTTTTCTTGACTTTGTTCAAGTTTTAATTTATGCAGCCTTGACATTACGTTAATGTAGGTATCTGTATTTAATACTTCTGTTTCTCTTTAATTGTGTTAGCATTTTAGTGATTACAGTTAGTATCTGAAATTCACACTGCACTGAGTTGAATGGGACAGGAGAGAGAGGGATTGCCACCAATTGTAATTGTTTTTACAGTGACAGATTTCTGCAAATCTGCCTTAACTGTGGCAGTGTCCACGCTACAGTCTGTGTTGGCAAAGTGTATTTCACTCTTGGATCTGAATATTCCACCCCCGAACAGACATAAGTTATACAGGTTGGACCTTCCTGGTCTGGCAATCTCGGGACCTGACCAGTCCCAAATGACAGAATTTGCCGGATCAGGGGAGGTCCCCTTCCACCGGCCTCCTAGGACACTGCCCCTCTCTCCTGCTGACTCCTCTCCTGCTGTTACAGGGCTTGGGGCTTGGCTCTGGCCCGCTCCTGTATCAGAACAGCTGTGCCACTGCAGCGTTGCATGGATAGACGTGGCCTTAGTAGAGCAGCAGCAGTGCATCAGTTTACATTGTGACAGCTGTATATCTTCGTAATGTAGAAAAAGAGAAATCTTATTAAGCGATAGCATGGAATTTACGGACTATTGTAAGAAGCAGTAACATTGCAAACTAATTTTGACATTGCAGGATGTGTGTTCCTTTTCACACGGGCAATGTTCGCTTTTTCTCTGTCTGGCTTTTGGGTTGGAGGATTTTGCTGAATGTGTTTCAGCGACATGGAATTTCCCTCAGGCAAACTGTCCACACAGCCGCCCTCATGGCTGGATAATTAGGGCAAGCAGGTTAGACTATGCAATGATATCCTAAAGGAGGCAGAACTTCATATGTGACTGTTCCTGCTCTGAGCAAACCTCACCGCTGCGCCATTAACAGTCTCGGTGCAGGGTCTGCGTACACAACGAGTGGTGACATGACATAGCTGCCATTCTGCAGTTAGTCCTAGCACCACCTTCCCCGGGCATTGCTTGGCTTTGTCTTCCTCTTCAAGTCTCTGTAGTATGGCATAAAGTCACATTTTCTGTGTAAAAATAAGCTGCATGCTTCTGAGACTTCATCGCATGCTCATTCTCACCAGTATCTACTCTCCTGCAATTTCTGCATAAACTACCTGCTGTGGGTATGTATTTCAGAAGAAACATGGTGAAAGTTGGCCCAAGGCAGATGTCAGGGCATTTTTTAACATCTGGGGAAGTGAGGAGATGCAGCTGAACTCTGTAATTTGGAATACGCTGCTTAATAACTGGGAGTTGGCACATATGATTCCGCATTTTTTTGAAACAGTCTCAGTTATGTAGGTCACCCTGGACACTGATGAGCAGGAATCACAATGGTTAAGAATGTAATGACATTTATACTCTGTAGCCAAGTAATTTCCCATATTTTGTTGAATTTAGTAATGTAGTTTCTGACGTGTCCGTGTCCGTGTCCGTGTCCTTCCTCCTTACTACCTTTAAAACAATTACTTTGGCTGCCAGGAAAATGTCTGTCTGTTTTGTTGTTTTACTGTATATAAAAAATCCCAAACAGATATGAATTCTGATTCTCTTGTCTGGAACTGTTGTTTGCATCTTCCTTAGTGTACCTGCTAATAAGGGCGCATTACTCATTTCTCTTTAGGGTCTGACCACATCCGAGAGAAGGATGGACTCTGGGCTGTGCTAGTCTGGCTTTCAATCATAGCTGCTCGAAAGCAAAGTGTGGAAGAGATTGTCAGAGATCACTGGACAAAATTTGGCCGTCACTACTATTGCAGGTACGGATCATTATGAAACACAGAATGTCCTTAGCGCAGTTTTGGGGCACATTTGGCTTGTTTAACTTTGTTGCTGTTAGTAGTGAAATGTGTTTTGCAGCACTTCAGGTGTGTGTGTGCACAGAACATAAATCTGCTGTAGACTAAACAGTGTTCCTAGGGACATTTGCGGTCTAAGTGTCAGCTTTAACTTGAAGCATAAGTTACAATCCCAGCAAGGTTTACTCAGCTCTTCATTTTCCAGAGATAGATAAATAGAGTGTTGAACACGCTATGGCATGTGGGCCTTTTTGACAGGACCAACATCCTGCCTGCTTTTTATTAGGAGTGAAATCCTTGGTCCTGCTCAAGGTCTATGCACTTCAGACTCCTACTTACATTCTCAAAATAGGGCTTAAGTGGGACTCATGCGATGTATAGGTCTTGTGCTGGCCCTCTGTCCAGGAGGAAATTTACCCTGCAGAGTTTAAGAAACCCATAAAATGTTTTGTTGCTTAGAAAAGTTCCTTTTCTCCCTCCTTGCCTATTGTCCATGCAGTATGCCAATTAGTTGCTGTCCTGCCAGCCCAGAGTTGGCTACATATCAGTGGAGTGGTATTTATATGGCATGTCACTAATTTCTCTGGGTAAACAACGTTGTCTGAAAGCAAATTGTTGGTGTTGCTAAGAACAACTCCAAATGTAGGAGTATATCATATATTTTCTAAGTGGGTTCTGCTTACTCACTGAGGCAGGTGGTTTGCTATCCCAACTGAAAAGAGAGGAGGAGGGAGTGGCATTCTGAAAGGGAAATATTCAGTGTGTGGTTTGAGCAATCCTGAGAGAGAAACACTAAGAGCAGCCAAGAGTGGGCAGAAGGCAAGACCCAATAACTTTGTTCTCTTTTATTGTTAATTTCTTTGCTGCTAATGCCAGGGTCCCAGCAGAACATGATTTTTGAGACTACCCAGTGTACAGACTGTTTTAGTGGCCCAACAAAAGAGCACAGACTTATCAAGGGGGAGAGGGGTTGAGGGTGGACATGTCTTTTAAGCATGTAAGTACATTAATCACTTAGGGCGCACAGTTTTCTTTTAAACTTAATTGACAGATTTGCACATTTCATAGAAAGGAGGATTTAGGAGCATAAAAGTGTGTAAGTAAATGGAAGAATAGTTTTAATTTGTGCTAGGCACTTCAGTTGCATGCCTCGTTTTCCATGTCTGCAATAGATTACTAATTGTGAGCATCTCATACTCTGTGAAAACCAGGTGAAGCTTACATATTTCTTCATATTACTTTTCGTTTATTCCTACATGAAAGATTTGATTATGAAGCCTTGGAACCCAGAACAGCATATTTTGTAATGAGAGATCTGGAGGCTTTGATCATTGATAAATCATTCAGTAATCAGCAGTTTGCTGTTGGGAACAACGTCTACAAAGTGGAAAAAGCAGACAGCTTTGAATATATGGATCCCGTAGATGGCACTGTGACCAAAAGACAGGTATGAAAGTAACAAGAGTAATCTTTTCAAAGATAATGGGGTGGATATGTGGCGGGAGAGAGGAACCATAACGTGTTACAGTGATGCACACTACTTTTATAGGGTTTTTTTCCCTGTCCTTGAGGTAATAATCATTTTTCACTTGTAGAATCATGATTTTCTTTGGTTAGTGGAACATACTTGTTGGCACATAGCAGTACTTTTTCCCCATTTAAGAATATGTGATAATGAAACAACCAGTTAACTTACATTCAGTGTGCAATACTGATAGCAGTGAGTCAGTGTGGGATGGCAAGGGAAAATGTTGCCAACATTGTGGAGCTTGGCAAAGTAGGCTGCCAAAGAACAAAGCATGGTGTCAGGAAGAAATGAAAATCCTTCCTTACTCCAATTCAACCTGAAGACATCTGCTGCCTTAAACCAGTGGTGCACAACCTTTTGCCTGGTGCAGCCCCCAGGAAAATTGGTTGTGGGGGGGAAGCGGCCCCTTCTTTAAATGCTGTTCCGCTCGCCTGCCACGCCAGGGGAAAAAAAGGCAGCTGGCCCAGCGCTACAACCCTCTCCTTCTCTTCCACCCTCTCCCCCCCGGAAGACAGCCACGACTCCCCATGGGTTGCGCACCACTGCCTTAAACTACAGTCTAGACTAAATATTTTGCTCTATTAAACTCATGACATAGCCAGTACTGGAAATGTATTTTTTCTTGGTGAAAATTTGTTTAAAGAGTAACTGTGAATACAGACTGTGACTCCTATTTAAATATTTTTTCATGGTTTTCTCTTATCTAGATTAAAAATAATCCATTTTGAGATTAATTTTCGGTAAGCATTCTTATTCTGGGCTTTCCTCTTCATTGCCATTTTCTCTTTGTTCTTCAAATGTTAACCGTTTTCTTATGTCTAAAAATACTATCTCTTAATATATATAATCAGATCATCACACACCACAGCATATATTTGTATATATCATACAATATGCTCATCATTTTATATTGCATATACCTCCTTCAGCACTTTTTCTTGATTTGACTAGCTTGTGGAACAATCCAGCCATGGATACTGACCTTACAACCAATGTTCTTCCCTGCTGATCAGTTGCTTGGTTCTTGATCTTTCTCACTATCACATGACCTTGACACTTAACTCTTCTTTTACTGCTACATCTTGCAGAGATTTGTTTTCCCCCAGCTGTTCAGCATTGAGTTAATAGATTTTTATAAAGTAAGATGAAGGAACATCTTCATTGGATCTTATAAAAATACATTAATTTTTATAGCTCATACCAGTCTTGTGCTTTCAGTCTCCTGATACAACACATTAGGAGTTTTATATTTATGGTCACGTTCCATAGAACTTCTGTGGAAATAATTAACCTCTAGGGACTTTGCATAGAATTTTACCAAAAAAATCCTGAAGGGGTATTGCAAATATAGTCCAGCTACATGATCAACCAAAGTATAGATTGTCCTAACATTTGTAGTTTGTGAATCATCAGGATCTGACCAGTTCCTTGCAAATCCTACTTCAGTCTATTGAAACTATTGTCATGCCATTCTGGATAGAAGGAATCCACCTGCTGCTGACCTACTTTTTCTGTGTATTGCTGGCGAAACATGATACATGCCTGTTGTCATATCCAGGCCTACTGGAAAATCACAGGAATGATAAACTTGTCGCCTTTGCCATTTTAAAAAACTGACTTGTGATTTTCAGTGTCCTTTTCCTCCCTTATTTTTTTGTCAAAAAGCTCTGTCCTACAGTTGCAATAAGAATAAATTTTCTAACCAATTTCTTTTAGAAAGGACCTGCTATAAAACAACAAAAGAAACAGTAGTGGTCCAGTTTTTAGATGGCCTCTGAACAGGTTTCCACAAAATTGGCCAAGCACATCTTTTCCATTGGCAAACATTTTCTAATTTATTTAGAACGTAAGCTCTTTCAGTTGGGGACTTAGTTTTATTCTCCAGATATAAAAGGAGAGAGATACAGTAGAACCTCACTAATTGATATGGACAACTAGCTAACCATTAGCTGCTTGTTCACTAACTAGCTATTTTACAAAACAGAGCAAACACAGGTAAAGCAAGGGCAATGTATTGCAGAATTTAATTTCTTTTTGGAATTGTATCTTATAATATGGCGCAATAATAAACTGATAAATGTACTGTAGTGTGTTTTGTAGAAAAAATTGGTGGTAGTAAACATTTATATTCTGATGGTATCCCGTTCTGCTGGGTGCTGCACGACCTTTCCCTGACAATGAGGTTTTGGCATAAGAACTCAAACCAGTTGTGCTCTGGTGTTAAATCTTTGCTGAGGAAAACAGACACCATTTGACCACACTGATTTGTAAATTATCCACACTGATAAGAGTCTAATCGATTTATTTCGATTAGACTCTTAATCCTTTTTCATTAGAAATCTGTGAACTGATTGTGAATGTTTTCCTACTCCTGTCTTTGTTTCAGAAGTGGAAAAGGTTATCCATGCAGTTTAGGGTGTTTTTTTAGTTTCAAGTTTATACAGTAGTCAGGAAGCAGACATTGGAAAAGTTGGAAAAAGTTTTTCATTCGCATGCCCACATGTAAGCCCAAACTGCTCAGAATGATATTTCAGTGCTGCACCAGAGATAAGGTTTTTTCCTGTCAAAATATTCAGTGCTATCTGCTGTGCGTTTGGAACATTCAAGTGTCAGCTGAGGAACAAATAAAACCACATTAGTGCATAATACTTGGAAGTAAAACTACAGCCATTTTATGGGGCGAGGGGGAGGTGAGAGAGAGAGAGAGAGCGAGAGAAAGAGAGAGAGACTATACTTGTACTTTATTGGTACCGGGCCATTTGCTTTGCTGACATAGCTACATACAGTAAAACTCCAATTGTACAGCATTCCCGATAGTCCGGTATCAAATGGCAAGAGCCTAGTGAGTGAACTTCAGCAAAAAACGAGTCACAAGGCAGCAGTTGAACTGAGCGAAAAGGGTAAAAAAGGGTTAAAAAACAAAAACATTACAGTATACTGTACAGTATGTACAATAAAAAGGGTTAAAAACACTTTATATAAAGTATATACTGTACCTCCTGATAATCCGGCACCACCTAGGTCCGATAATCCGGAACCTTTGGGAAGTCTACTGTACCTCTAAATAGTGCTTCAAAATGTTAAACTGAATCATACTCATAGCTTTGCATGCCTGAATCTTGCTTGTGTTGTCCTTTAACTGCAAGCATGATACGAAATATGGCAAATAATAGTTATCACATAGGTAGCCATTTCAATCTTCAGAGAGCTTTATGAATACTAGAAATTAATGGTTAATGTAACAGGAATGTAATACAAGAATGCTGATCTCTGTGAAGTCTGTTTTAATTCCACTTACGCACCAAGGCTTGCCTCTTGTCACATCTGCTCCAAAACGAGTGGATCAAATTCTCTTCTGGTATATGCATTGCATTGGATGGGATCTTCTTCAAGGAACTCAGAGGCACTACAGGAAGTCATGTTGTTGATTCAGTCGGTTACACTGTATGCCAGGAAACAGTTGGCTCCAGTGGCTTTAGGAGCTGACAGAGGCCAGATTGCTTTCTGTTATATATATATATATATATATAATTTTTTTTAAAGCCAGCTCTTCTAGCACAGCATAGCACAAAGCTGCCCTTGCACCTCCATTACTTCTGTGAACAGTAAAGGGTGATCCTTATTCATGCATGGCTAGAAAGGCAATTGCAGTGCCTTTAAAGATCTCCTCCATTAGGAAAGATTCCCATCTGCTAGGTCATTGAAACCAACATGTTATACTATCTACAAAGTTAATTTTTTCATATTTTATTAGCTTTTTAGCCATGAAATTTAGCATTGTGGCACTTTCCATGCAGCTCAGATACATCCATTAGCCTGTTTAGAATGCCTATAATAAATGTCCATAGATATTCAACGTGAAAACTACATTCAGTCTTGTATAGCTCCTTCCTCCTATAAGTGATCAACTCATCTTGTTTCTCACAAGTTTCTCATTGATCACAATAATAAATCGTTCCTTATTATAGCAGAAAAATATTCCATCTTCTGAATTTCCCAATTTATCCTCTTTGTCCTTTTTCTCTTTTAGACTATAAAGACTACATTGTAGAGGAATGTTTCCATTTTGTCTTTTATTCAATTTGGGAAATAATATATAATCAATAATAATAATAGACAATTGGATTTACAGCAAAATATCAGCCAATTCACCTCATGTTAGGAAGGAAAATAACACAGTACGTACTCTGTACTTTATTTAATCAGTTTATTTCCACCCTATTAATATTTTTTCCTAATTAAAGTTCAGATCTATTAAAAACAAACTCCAGTCCCCTTTAGAATTTTGTCTTATAAGAAGTGGGAAACTCACTGTTCATTTTTACAGAAAGATGTGCTGCAAACTTCAACATTTTCAAGTTCACGCGTTTCACATTTCATTTAGTGACAATGATTTGTTAATAAATATTTCCATTCATGGCATGCCAGATGCAATAGGAGTGAGGTTCTAGAAAATCAAAGGGATGGATCAAAGCTGAACAGCTTCTTTTATTATTTTCTATGAGCTTTCTGAGTGACAGTTTTGTCAGCTCTAGAGCCACCCTGCACAGTTCAGAGACAGGGTTTGGGATCAAGATTTCACAATAACTAATGAGGCCAAAGGCTAGATCTAAACCACATATACTTCAGAGTTTTTTGGAATCATTCAGTTTGGAGGTCACCTCTAGTTTGATGCTGAAAATCAGTATCTAAGGACTGTTGTTGTTCCTTATTAAATGATTTCTCCCTGGCATATAACCCTGTTGTTTTAAGAAGTAGACCATGGTGTTCCTTTGTACTAACAATAACTAATGAGGCCAAAGGCTAGATCTAAACCACATATACTTCAGAGTTTTTTGGAATCATTCAGTTTGGAGGTCACCTCTAGTTTGATGCTGAAAATCAGTATCTAAGGACTGTTGTTGTTCCTTATTAAATGATTTCTCCCTGGCATATAACCCTGTTGTTTTAAGAAGTAGACCATGGTGTTCCTTTGTACTACCTCTGT